GAGGGTGGGAGGCCAAGATGACTGCCAAGTGAACCTTAGTAGATGAGAGAGCCAGACCGTAATGTTTTAGGTGGAGCAGATAGTCCAATATAGACTGCAGAGAAGACCGGGATGGAGAAATATTCTGTTCAGAGGCCCAATAAGTGAAATTTTTCCACTTAGCCAAGTAGGTGGCCCGAGTGGAAGGCTTTCTGCTACCTAGCAAGACTTGTCAAACCTGTTCCAAGCAGGCCTGCTCTTCAGGGTTCAGTCATGCAGAAACTATGCTGTCAAGTGCAGGGAGGTGAGGTTTGGGTGAAGCAACCTGATGTGGGAGTATGAGTGGAGATGCACTGAGAGGTCCAGAAACATGTCGAGTGAATGCTGCCGTGGCCAAGCCAGAGCTATCAGGATAACCCTTGCCTTGTCCCACTTGATCTTTAGGAGGACCTTGTGAACCAAAGGGAGTGATGGGAAGGTGTACAGTAGGTGGTCTGCCCATGACAGCAGGAAGGCATTAGTGATGTAGCCTCTGCTGACCCTGCGCAGTGAACAGAACTGATGGCATTTCCTGTTCTGTCTCGTGGCGAAGAGAGGCTCCCCACTTCTGGAAGATGACATTTGTGACCTCCGGGTGAAGAGACCACTCGTGGTGAGAGGATAAGGATCTGCTGAGGTGACCCAACAGTGCGGTCTGGGCTCCCAGGAGATGTGTTGCCCCAAGTTGAATGGAATGTTTCACGCAGGAGCCCCACAGCCGAGGCCCCTTGGCACAAGGCTGAAGATGGAGCTCCTCCTTCATTGTTGATATAAAACATCGAGGCCGTATTGTCCATCACTTGTACCACTTTGGGGAAGGAACACCTGGCAAGCCAAGCATACTGCGCTAAGCTCCCTGACATTTATATGCAGGGAGAGTTCTTCCTGGGACCAGTGGCCCTGAGACTGTCAAGATGGGCTCCCCACCCCAGCTCTCATGCATCTGAAACCAAGGTTACCGATGGATACAGGACAACAAAGAGTACTCCTTTCCTTACGGAACCCGGATCTCTCCACCAAATCAGCAAAACTAGGATGAGCAGAAGAATCCTGAGTCCAAGTGGCATCTACCCAAGGCGTAAACTGACAACAGTCACATCTGTAGGGGTCTGAGTTGTAGCCATGCATACTGCATCACATAGGTACATGCTGCCATGGGTGGTTGTAAGAGGGTGGGTTGTGACCTGGGAGATCAGGTCCAACATAGTTCGGAATCTGGTCTCCAGTAAATAAGCCTTATCCTGAGTGGGGTTAAGCACCTCCCCGATGAACCCTATTCTCTGAACTGGGACAAAAGTTGACATTTTCTTGTTTATTAACAGGCCCAGTGCCTGTTAATAAGGTGGCCCATACTATACCACTGCTGTGCTGGACTTGAGCCTGCGAGTGTTCTTTCATCAGCCAGTTGTCAAGGTATGGGAAAACTTGTATGCCTCGACATCTGAGGAAGGCTGCAACCACTGCCATATACTTCATGAAAACCCATGGGGCTGCTGATAGGCCAAAGGTAAGCACGGTGAAATGGTAGTGGCACTGGCCCATCACAAACCTGAGGAATCTCCTGTGTCCATGGGAGATGGAGATGCGGAAATAAGCATCTTTCAAATCTAGTGTGGCATACCAGTCTCCTGATGGAGGCCAGGGAGACCATGTGGATTCTTAGTTTTTTTAGATATTTGTTGTGGTTACACAGGTCCATGATAGGCCATAGATCCCCTCCTTGGTCTTCAGGATTAGGAAATATTTGGAGTAAAACCTCTTCCCACTCAAGCCTCGAATAACCTCCTCTATAGCCCCCATAGATAGGAGGGCTTGCACTTCCTGGATGAGAAGCTGCTCTTGAGAAGGGTCCCTGAAGAGGGATGGGAAAGGGGGATCAGAGGGAGGGGTTCACAAAAATTGGAGGGTGGGGCTGACTATTACAGTGCTGAGTACCCAACCTTCCGATGTAAGACCACACTGGGTGGAAGGGTGACAGGCAGTCCAAAATCCAAAGGGGGATGGATCCAGAGTCGAGATTGGTATGCTGTCTTTGGGCATACCTTCAAAAGGCCTGCCTGGCCCCAGCAGGGTATATACATGAGCCCAACCGGGAAGCCAAGGCAGAAACTAGAGGCTGACAATGTTTATAGCCCTTTCCCTTTCTTTTGTAGGGCTCCTGCTTGGGAGGCGCTGGGAATCTGGGAGACTGTTGTGGCCTAAAATGCTTCTTGGAGGCTGGGGGTATGTTAACGCCCAGGGTGCAACATGTGCCCATGCAGCTTGGAGTCCATTTGTTTGGTGAACAGGAAGGTACTCTCAAAGGGTTGGTCCTGGACAGACTGCTTCACTTTGTGAAAGAGGCCCAATGACTAAAGTCATGAACAGCGCCTCATGGTGACCACTGACGCCATCATTCTGGCTGCCGAGCCGGCCGCATCCAGAGCTGCCTGGAGGGAGATTCTGGCTACCCTAACTCCTGCCTTGACTCCTGTGGCAGCGAGTCCTTAAATTTGGCCATTGAGTCCCACAAGCTAAAATCATATCTCCTCAGCAGAGCCTGCTGGTTAGAGATATGTAACTGGAGGCTGCCCATCAAATAAACCTTTCATCCAAACAGGTCCAGTCTCTTAGTCTCTTTATTTTTGTGGGTAGCATTTGACTGTCCCATCTGTCCCACTCATTTGCCGCCAACATCACCAGGGACCGGGGGAGGGGGCATGAGGGAGGGGGAATGTGAGTACAGGTACTCAAACCCACTTCTTCTCCACTGTTTTTGAGGTGGGGGCCAGAGACAAAGGGGTTTGCCCAGTGCCCTGATAGGTCCCAATACTGCCTCATTAACTGGCAGGGCCAATCTGGAGAGAGCTGCTGCAGCCAGGATGTCAATTAGGCTGTGCACAGACTCCTTCAGCTCTCCAGCTTCCAGCCCAAGTTTGCGTTGACCCATTTCAGGAGCTCTTGATGGGCCCTGAAGTCGTCCAATGGGTTAATGGGGCCTGTGACCACTTCATCTGGGGATAATGAGGAAGTGGACTGTACCGGAGGAGGGACTGCCTCCTCTTCCTCCACCACTTCCACTGGGACCACTTCTGGGACCTCAGTAACGAGGTCAGTACCGGGTCTGGTGTTAGGTGGGGCAAAACAGGGGCTTGCCTCTCAGACACCACCAAGTCTGAGCGGTGGAATGGGGGTGCTGGTACCAGGGGAAATCCCCACAGGTTCCAATATTGCCACTCTATTGACCTGTGGCCCAGTGGCCAAGCGCCGGCTGAGGAGCTAGTACCAAAGTCCAATGCATAGGTCAGGTATCAGTACGTCTTTGGCAGGGCAAAGGATTCCGGCTCGGACTCTGAGAAGGAAGCCTCAGAGACCATGGCAATGCAGTACCCCCTTCCGCCTCTAGGAAATGCCGGGGAACTGGTGACTGACGATGTGTCAGAGACTGCTGCAATGGGACCATGGAGCATTTTCCTTTGGATGGTGCCATGATGGAATTCACCGCCCCTTGATCCCTTCTATCCCCGGTAGCCTTGGCAAGCAGAGGGTCCTGGGGGTGGGAGGATCAGGAGGGATATCATGTCCTTTGCCAGGACATCATGCCCTAGGAAGCCTCCAGAGTTGAAGGAGCCCACTCCTAGAAATTGGAGGTGGGTCCTAAACCACATTCAGTGCTCTAGGTGGAGTTTCTGGAGCCAACAGTGGCTCTGAGGAGGATGAGTGGCCCAGTGTGGGTCTCACTGCATCAGCCACTCCCCACTTGTCCCTCTTCTGCACTGGAGAGCGCCCTCTCTTGTCACAATCTCTAGCTTTTAATTTTATTTTGTAATATCTGTAAATAAGACATTCTAGTGAACTAGAGAATGACACATCTAGCTTTACTTCCTAATTACAGGAGTACATGAAGAGAGATACAAATAAAATATCCCAATTCCACTTTAGCCATCTCTTTAATCATCTGCAGATCAGCCACGACTAATGATTTGGTTCTGAGACAAATAGTTTTACTGAATAATTTTTAGCCACACAGAAAAATCATTGATTTTTAACCAAGTTTTACATCATTGACATTGGATACAAAAGGAAAAAGCAGCAGCTCACCTGTTGCATGTATCTGAGATTACATTGCTTTGAGAACCCTATTTTGGGCATTTCCAGTGTTTTAGTGTTTAAAGCCCCAGTGCTGCACAAGCACAAGTAACTTTATCTATGTAAATAGGCCCTTTGAGTATAGTTACTCATGTTCATAGTGTTTACAGGATTGGGTCTCAAAGTCCAAATCAATTCTATTAAGCACATTTACCAAGTAATAGAAAATAATGTTCTTATCTTTTATATTTGAAATTATTCCACTCTGAATAAAATTCAACTTATTTTTGCATATAGTTGAGTATATTTTTAGGACCAAATCCTGCAAACTGGTACACACAGACAGATTCTTATATTTGTTCCAGGGTCCACACAATCACAGGCATCTACCCACCATGGATCAGTTTTCCAGGAACATGACTTTAAACTGCAGGTGAAGTAACAAGTCCTTGATCAGGAAGCTTGATTATACATTTCACATTATGCTGCATGTTAGAGACATTAAGGATGAAACAGTTCACAAATAATTAACACTGACTTGTGGCTTCCAACAGTCCAGGTAGTAGAGTTCCAAAATATTTCAAGTTATTGTTTCTTATCTTATTAGCATCTGATCCTACTCCTACTGAACAACTCTTTGGGAAACCTCCCATTGATTTAAAGAGGGAAGAAAATAACCCGCTAGTTTCCATTGTCATGAAATCTCGTATGAGACCAAGATGACATAAATCCAGATCTTAGAGCTATTCAGGAAGTAAACAAAGAAAGCATATGTTGTTACTGAATTTAGCTGCTGATGCATTTTGCTGAGTTACTGTGCGTAACTATGTTATCAAATCAGGTAGAAAAATGTAGTGCAGTACGAAGTCACTTATCACATATATTCAATCCAGCTGCAGATCCATGAAACCTACCTCCACAAGCCTGCTGGTGTGTTCTCGAAATATAGCAGCATATTCCTTTATTTCCTTTTCTCTTCCATTTTTAGCAGCCTCAATGAGAACTAGAAGTGGAATAGTGGTATCCAAGAAGGAATCTGAGACATGATCTATAATAGCTTTCCGAAGCTGAAAAATAAAGCATCATCTTCCTATCAGCAAATTGCATTATATTCTGTATTACAGACTACTACAGTAAATATAAAAACTACTATATCATAATTGAATAAGATCAATATATAGTAATGGCAATCTGAACTATAAATTATCAGAGGGGTAGCCGTGTTAGTCTGAATCTGTAAAAAGCAACAGAGGGTCCTGTGGCACCTTTAAGACTAACAGAAGTATTGGGATCATAAGCTTTTGTGGGTAAGAACCTCACTTCTTCAGATGGAAATTTCCATTACTTGCATCTGAAGAAGTGAGGTTCTTACCCACGAAAGCTTATGCTCCCAATACTTCTGTTAGTCTTAAAGGTGCCACAGGACCCTCTGTTGCTTTTTACAGTACTTCTATGAATTTCTTTGTATCCTATAAAAAGGGCAATATATAAATGGAAATTACTGAAGCTACAATGTATCCACTTCAAATATATCTGTATTTAATTTTTAGGGATAATTTTATTATAAAATATATTATTTTAACACACACAATTATGCTCCTACTTCAGCAAGCATTAACGCAGGTGCATGAGTCCCATTGAAGTCAATGGAAGCTAAACATGTACTAAAATGTTTTGCTGAATAGGGATGGACTGTTAAATTGGGTTCAATAAAATAAATAATTTATCACTAAAATAAATCTATCCTTGTCTCCTTTGCATTTTCTCTTAAAGATCAGGCTCTATGAAAGGAGGATATTTTATTTCTGGAAGAGCATACAAGTATAATGATGTTTATTCTCATTTATACCCAATAGCTTCTACATCATGTATTGTCATAACTGTAAAATTACCCAAATGTTTTCTACCTTGTTGCAGGCCCAACAATATATTTTGATTAGCTAAATTGTATATGGCATGTTAATTATACCAATGAGATCATCGATAAGAACATCTGATAATAGATTAATACAGCAAGGAGAATAATAAACAAGTCTGATGTCCAATTTTCTCCATTTGCATTAATTGTTCTTGAACTTCCATCTTAAATTATTAAACAAGTGTAGCATTCCAGTACAAATTAGTTCTCTTAAATTAGATTTCATATAATCTTATAACTGATGTTTGGGAAATTACTCAGAGGATATTTTCTATGTTCTAAATCTAAATGAGTTCATTGTAATCATATAATACACTCTAGGAAGTACACAAATCAAAGCATTACATGGAATATAATTAACCTTATCAATTGTATTAAGTTCCCCAGTGCAAATATGTACTTATTTGTTCTAGCCCGTTTATCAGTACATATAAAAAATGTTGATGGTAATACAGAAGACATTGATTGCAACAGAAAAGAAAAAGCATCTTAAAACTAATATTGAAGTGAAAAGGCACTAATTGGTTTGCTCTCAAAGGAAAATATTTTAATATAGCATTTTAGTTCCAATGTCCCTCTAAGAAAAAGCTCAGAGTGGGTAAGCACTCCTATGGTTAGGCAGATATGAAAAAAACAAAGCCTTTCTGACGTTAATTTCCCTTTATACGGGGTAGCATACCCACAGAGCTAGTAACAGAGGAAATTTGTGCTGGCAAGGCAAGATTTGGATATAGATTCCACTACTTTGGAAAATACTTGTCTATCTAAAGTCCTGATCAGATATCTAAAGTCAAAGAAAAGCATCCCATTGACTTCAATAGGCATTGAGTCAGAGTGTGACATTCCTGAAAAATGTTGTTCAAGCCATTTTTAGAACTTTTTGCAATCTATTTGAAACTAGCTTATCACATAATATACATTATACAATCCCAAATCAATGGGATGCTGCACAGACATAATGTCTACACTGCACACTAAACCCTGGCTCTGATTCAGGTTTTAGCCCAAGCCCCTCTTCCTTCCACACACAAATCAGTCTGATCCGGTTCAGGAAGCACTCATGACTCAGGTCCTAGGACCCTGCTACTGGGGGAGGATCAGAACTCAAGCCCTGCTGTGACTTGGGTCTAAGCCCTGTCATTCTGCAGCATGGATGCAGATCAAGCCACAGACCCCAGTCAGAAGGTCTGCCTAGTGCAGCATGGACCCATTATCATGGCTGTGAATCATGGGTCCAGGAATTGTACACACAGGTTTACAATGCAGTGGGACTGCTCAAGCTTGTGCTTGGAAACACTGAGTCCACAAGCCCAAGTTCCACAGTCCCCTGGTGTAGAATACGTCTACATTGCATACTTATTTTGGTGGCATGTAGTGTACATACTCGGGTTGACCCCAGCACACCTATAAACAGCAGTGTAGCTGGCAAGACACAGCTTAGGCAAGTAAAAACATGCCTGAAGGATGTGGGTATGTACCTAAGTACTCACCTACATGACTCTCTTCTTGCCTAAGCTGTGTCTCCCCATCTCCACTGCTCTTTTTAGCCATGCAGTGTCCCACTGCCTTAGGATGACCAGATAGCAAGTGTGAAAAATCGGGGTGGGAGGTAATAAGCCCCTATATAAGACAAAGTCCCGAATATCAGGACTGTCCCTATAAAATCAGGACATCTGGTCACCCAACACTGTCTCCCCATTGCCAGAGCCTTCTTCTGCTACTTAAAAAGAGTCTGGAAACAGGAAAGGCTTCTGGTGGCTTTCCCCAGAAAGAATCTGGTAGCAGGGAGCTTCTGAAAACTTTCCCTATTGCTTCCCCCCATCAAAGCCTTTCACTGACACATATAACTACATACCACAGCGTGGATGCAGCCTGCTTTTCATTTTAATGTGTAGCTACACATACACTACACGCCGCCACAATCAGTGCATAATGTAGAGGTAGCCTTGATGTGCAGTGTCAACATGCCCATAGGGGCCCAGCTTATCAGATCCCAATGAGGTATTAGAGTATCCATTTGCACATCCAACACCTACCTACATTTGTTTATTCTCCAATTCAACAACTCAGAAAGGGAGAGTAAGAGTTTCAACAACAAGAACAAAATACATATAGACCCCTATCCTGCAAAAGCACATGCTTGACTTCATTCATGTGGGTAGTGCAATTGAAGTCAGTGGATCTACTCATCTCTTTAAAATTAAGCATGTCTGTATGCCTTTGTAGGATTAGGGTCTAAGACATTGCTATTCCAATTAAATACACGCCAATCTACTTTATTATTTTCTTTATGAAGGGAGAGGTCCTGAACTTGCCAAATTTCATTACAATACTAACATAAAAAAGCCACGGCAGCTCTGTATCCATGGATGCTGTTTCATTTTCTCTGACAGATTTGTTTTGGATCAGGTAACGGCCAAATCAAGCATGCCATCTAAAAATGTGTGTATTTCTTAAATTTCACTCATTTTACTGCATTTCACTTGCATTGAACTAATGCATTCACAGGAGAGCCTGATTCTGCACCTATTCAATTCACAGGCAAATCTCCCACTGACTTCAGCATTGCAGGAGCAAGCCCTTTAGAGCTTGTCAGACAATATTTTAATACGTGCACAGTTCATGCTATCATGTGATGCTGTACAAGAACACCACAAATGCCACATTGCATACTAAGATCCAGTCCCACATAACACAGATCTCTGCATCCATACAGAGTTTCATCAAAGTTCCATTTTAGGAATAGGTACTGTAATAATCCCGTTGATGCATAACATATCTACAGCATCCAGAAAGTTAAAGCCAGCTTTCTAATCAATACTTTATTTTATCTCGTTGCATAACTCTTCTCTTTAGCTGTTTATTGATTGATTGGCTTAATTAATCTTTCATATATGGAGTTTTTAGTTCTTGCTATACTGTGGTTCTGAGGAACTCTCTGTCCTGAAATTCAGCAAAATGAAACAATTACTTTAAGAGAACAGAGCCACAGCCATGCCTTTTGTTGTGGTGTATAAAAACTATGAAATATTGTTGCTGTGTTTTACTTTTGCTGAGTTATATATGGCGCTTGGGTTTTAGAAACATAATTCTTATAGCACCACACAAAGAAAGGAAACAAAATCATGCAAAAACAAGGAAAGGGATAAAAAGGTGAAGAGAAAGGAAGGGAAAAAGACTGAAAGGCAAAGTCCAGAAAAATTATTTTGTGGTGTCTAAAGCAATATCAATTTCTCTTCAATATGATCATAGCAAACAATTTTTTCTATACTTAAGGGATCTGTTTCTAACTCTTACCGTCTATGAGGCAGAACCCCATGAACTACATTATAATATTGGCAGAAAGGCAAGCAGACAAAGAGCAGGCACAATCATGGTAGTGATTGTTACTGGGACAGTAAACGTATCATATTACACAACGAAAAGGAAAGATGTTGCAGACACCATAAGCAGGAAGCAGAGAAAGGGTGACTTTTGGCAAACTTTTTTGTTGATGTTGTTTAAGGTGTAAGGTTTTCCCCTTATGAAGGATTTGGATTTGGTTACTGAAGCATCAGAGGAGGCAAAAATGAACATATGGAAAAGTATAGTTTATACTGTCCTCAGAAGGTAAAGAAGGAATCTCAGCATGTGTGTGTGTGATGCTATTAGAACCAATGTTGTGATGAGTGTGGAAAACTGCTTTTTCACTTGCAACATTGGCAAAAGACTGAAATAAACAGAGTAATTATTAGTGAGGGAATCTCTTTTCCCTGTTTCAAAAGGACATTGGCAATGAAATCTGCAGTGTGTGCAGAAAACCTATCAGTAGATAGGAGAAGGGGACACACATGGGAACATCTGCCCTAAGATCCCTTCCAGAAAATAACTAAAAAAATAACCATAGGCAAAACATCTGTGCAAAGCACAACAGATCATCCACAAGTACAATGGGAAAGAGCTGGGATGGGAGTATTAACACTGGCAATATTTCAAGATACATAGCAGGAGACATTGGAATCAGTGTGCCATCAATTGCTTACTTAAAGCCTATACAGCTCTGCTAGTGAGGGAAGCATTCATCTAGGATACACTGCACACAAGTAACTAAATGATAAAAGTGCCATGAATATCTGTGGCACTGTACACATATACACATAATAAATAAAA